GGGGGGGGGGGGGGGGAATAATGAAATTTCAGGTTTTACTGAAAATTCAGTAAAATTCCAGAATTTTAAGGAGTACAAAGCCGAGAATTCCTGAATTTATTTGAATTTCAAATCTAATCTGAATATGAATATTCAGTGTTAAATTGTATTGAATTTTCAGTGAAAACTGAAATTTCATGATTTTTTCCCTCTAAATCGCATTCAGTGTCACTGTCCTAAAAATTCAAGAATGTATTTACCAGAATTTTCTGGTTTTCTATTTATCTTCAGGGAAAAACTGGAACGGAAATTCACAGTTTTGTTTGATTTTTCCACGAAATTCTGAATTTTCAATGACAAGATTTCCTGAAACTTCAATGGAATTGGAACACGATAAAAATTGTTGGAATTCGGCACGGAAAATTCAGACAAAAATTTTTGACAGTAAAATAAAGAAATTTCTCCTCCTTCTCCAGGTTATTTGTCAAATAAAGAAATTGATAAATTCCAATTTCATAATACGTTTTATTCTATCTAAATGGGTCATTCCACTGGATTGATAAATTATTGTTTTCACATGAACAAAAAGGATCAAATTTGTGAAAACTTTCACAAAATCTAGTTGAACTCGCTAAGGAAATCCATAAATTAACGACTTTCAATATTATTAGTGACAAGTTTACGAGCGACAAGTCAGAGTACCAAGTATACAGACTAACACAACGTGATTAATTAGCAATCCCCAAGGGAAGCGAGATGGTAAGGGATGCCGAATGTTTGCCTCGACGGTCTAAGTAATAACATAATTCGCAGCTGCGTAAGCATGGCTTAACATGATTTAGATGCGCGGTTTCTCACACCCCTTCCGAACTCACCCTCTACCGGTGTGCTTTGTCTCTTTCCGTGCACCATGCAGTGTTGCATCGCGAATTCGTCTTATCCGTGGGACAACACCCACGCTTCATTTTCCATGCACCGTAACGTGAATTTATTACGAGAATTACAAGACTTGAAGATGTTCAAATTAAATCGCAGAAACAAGAAAAAAAATGAGAAAGCAGCGGATTGCTAGTTCATTGGAAATGAGAACAAATTACAAGCCAAATATGAAACATTTCAATTCATTATTTAAGATTCCGAAAAAAATTGTGGATTGACTGATAAAAATTGAAAAATTGAAAGCTAGAAAACTAAAACTTGAAAAAAAAAATGAAAAATCAATAAATACAAAATTAAAAATTAGAAATCCCCCCTGATAAAGTCATTCTCGAATCGTTGAGAAAAAAGAAAATGAAGAGCGGAAAATGAAACCTCAAAATTAAAATTTACAGAATTTTCCAGAAACTGAAATTTTTTTTTTGCAATAGAAGAAATAGCAAAAAAGTCGGGAGGACACGTGGCATCACGTAAATTTTGGTGTCCCCCTAGACTTTTTTTTGTTATTTATTCTGTGGTAAAAAAAAATCAGTTGCTATAAACGGAGTGGCATGAAATCCTTCAAATTTCAATTTTTAGTCGTCATTTTTTGCTATTTCTTCTACTGCAAAAAATAGTTCACTTTCTGTAAAATTCTGTCAATTTTATTTTGAGTTTTTTTTACTCTTTTTCAACTATTCGAGAATAACTGTTTCATGGAGGATTTCTAATTTTCAATTTCTTAGTTTCTAGTTTTTCATTTTTTTTTAGTTTTTTTTTCAAGTTGTAGTTTTCTGGCTTTGAATTTTTTAGGTTCCGAATTCTTTCTATCAGTCTGTTAAAAATCTTGTGTGATTTTGATGATAGGGAGATCGGGAGGGAAAGTGAAGTGGAATGAATTGCCGGAGAATAAATCAAGATGAATTTCGTTGATTTTCACTGTATTTACAAACTTAGTGCACTGAAAAATACACTCAATGGATTTCGAATAAATAGTCGATTTTCTGAAGTGGACTGTACAAACACGGAATATTTAGATAATTGACCGGATAATTTACGATGATGTTCGATAGCTTTACCGATCAATTTCCCGATAAATGTGCCGATGTGCGCCCGGATAAGTTTCAGTGATTCGGTCCTGATGAGAGTCGATGGTGTACTGACCACCGCGGAACACGCTCACGACTACGTGCGTCCTCGTCGATGGTCGGAAATTTCCGTAAGGGACGAGGAAATGAGTTGGCCCAAAATACAGGCCATATTTTGAACATCCCGCCCGCCCTGCGTCACCTCCTGGTGACGAAGTGTAGTTGATGGTCCTCACTGTTGGTCCTCCAGTAGGTCTGCGTTGATGGGCAACGGAACTAGTCTATGAATTGCCCGTTGAATTTCCTGATGCCCTTTCCTCAGTGTGACAACTCTTGTCAGGTTTTCCTGTCGCGGATAAATTTCGATGACTTGGGCAAGGGGCCATTTAGCTGGCGGTTCCCGTTCGTCCGTGATGAGGACCAACGAACCAATGTTAATTTCGTTCGTGGGCTGTCTCCACCGGTAGATTTGTTGATATCGATGAATGCACTTTCGTGCCCAATTCTCCCAGGAGTTTTGGATCCTCTGGGTGATAATTTCCCACCTGTTGAGTCTGTCCGCGGTGATTTGCTGGAGTGATGGTTCAGGAACCGTCGTGAGCGGTTCCTCAATGATAAAGTGCCCTGGTGTCAGGGCTGATGTGTCTTGCGGGTCGTTGGTGGGTGGGCAGAGTGGCCGAGAGTTGAGTATGGCCTCGACCTGAGTCAGAAGAGTCGTAAATTCTTCGTACGTCAAGGTCGAGGTCCCGATGATCCTCCTGAGATGATGTTTCGTTGACTTCACAGCGGCCTCCCACTTGCCTCCCATACGTGGCGCGTGAGGGGGGTTGAATATCCACTGTGTCCCATCTGATACTAGCCGATCCCTGATGACAGCCGATTCGCTGGATGGCTGGTCGAAGAGATTCTTAAGTTCTCTCTCTGCCCCGATAAAGTTGTATCCCCTGTCACTGGTCAGGGGTCGCACAGATAACCTGTCTTGAAATGAAACGTTTGTAAGCTGCGATGAAGCCCTCCGCTATCAGATCCGTTACCATTTCCAGATGAGTTGCTGATGTGGCGAAGCAGACAAACAGACAGATGTCCATTGTTTTGCTTGCCCCTGATCCTCTCCATCTCAGGACGTTGATTGGGCTAGCAAAGTCCACTCCTGAGTGGAGGAAAACTCTTGATGGTGTCACTCATCGCATTGGCAGCTATCCCATCAGCTGTTGAGTCCTCAATGCACAGATAACGCACTTTATGATGTGCGAGCGTACTGGAACTCGCCCACCGATGAGCCAGTACCTCTGTCGGATGTGGGCCAATGTTAGTTGAGTACCGCTATAGAAACTCCGTTGATGAGCATCTGCGATAATGAGCGTTGATAGCGATGAGTGGCCAATGAGTGGGAGAATAATTGGATTTTTCTCCTCCGGATCCAACGTTGATTGTCGTAGGCGTCCGCCCAAGCGCATGACGCCGTCCTCCAGATATGGCGTCAACGTTGCCATTCAATGATTTGCTGCCAGTGAGTTGCCTGTCCGTAGAGTGTTGATTTCCGCCTCGAAATAGAGCTGTTGAGTGTACCTCACCCAGTACAGTCTTGCCTCTTCGAGCTCTTGTGGTCCTAATTGGGGAGATTCCGGTGGCGGCTGTCGTTGGAAGCATCTTGCGGCTCGATGGATCCAGGCTGTGATCCGCAATAGCTTCGTCAACGATGAATATCTGATGAGCAGTGCATCCGCCTCGGCGATTTGCACTGGATGCGAGCTCCTGATTGGCGGTCTCGCTTCTCGAGCCGCTTCTGATGATATCTCCGCTGTCGATGATAGATCCATTGATGAGGCTAGCCATTGATCTGGTGGCAGGACCAGCCATAAGGGTCCTGTCCACCACAGATGATGCTCCGCCAGTTGCTTCGGTTATAGACTTCTTGATGCGCAGTCCACCGGATTCTCCTTGCCATTGATATGTCTCGAAGTGGCAGAAGGCAGAGTATCTCTTATCTTATGAACCCTGTTCTGCACGAAGTCCTTCCAACGGGATGGATCTCCGTTAATCCAGCTGATGGCCACTGATGAGTCGCTCTAGAGATGGACTTGTATGTTTTCCAACTCCAGCGTTCGTTGTACGTAGGCCACAAGATCCGTTGCCAGGAGAGCTGCTGTTAGCTCCAGCCGTGGTATGGTCATTTTCTTGAGCGGTGCCACCTTGGTCTTGGCACAGACCAGGGTGACAGTCGTTCCTGATGTGGCTGATGATGCTCGAAGATAGACCAATGTGCCCATCGCCAGATTAGATGCGTCCGCGAAACCGTGTAGTTAAACTTCCGTCGTGTTGGGCGATAAATTGAGCCATCTCGGTATTGATAGACTGCTCAGCTGCTTAAGTTCCTGCCTGAAGAGTTGCCAGCGTTTTATTAAAGCCATTGGAAGTTGATCGTCCCAGTTGAGTTTGAGCAGCCACAACTCTTGGATGAGTATCTTTGCCGTGACGATCACCGGCGCGATGAGTCCCAATGGGTCGTAAATTGGCGCAATCTTGAACAGGATCACGCACTTGGTGATGGTGTCCCGGTTAAAGCTCCTCACCTTACCTCAGACAGACACCTTGTAGTGAAAGGTGTCTGCCTGAGGCTGCCAGCAGAGCCCCAGCACTTTCACCGTTGATTCCTCAAATTCGATGGTTGGAGCTGATCCCGATGAGAACCCGAGTCGCTTCAAAATGTGTGGCACATTGCTGCACCATTTCTGCAGGGGCATGCCGCCCGCCATGCAGAGGTTGATTAGCTTGATGATCTCCTCCAGTTGATGCTCCGTTTCTGTACCTCCGTATATGTCGTCGACATACCGTCTTTTGATAAATGTCGGTAAGGCCAGTGGAAATCGATGACCTTTGTCGATGGCCAACTGCTTCAACACCCGTAGCGAAAGCCGGTGCGAATGCGGGTGCACAACTGGTACCATAGGTGACTGTCGTCAGTTGATACTCGATGGGTTGGCCATTGTCGTCCTTCCAGAGAATTCGTTGATAGTCCCAGTTGTCTTGTTGTACCCGGATCTGGCGAAACATTTTCACGATGTCCGTCCCGTCGAATTTCGTCAATGAGTCTCGGTAAAGTGCTATTCACACTCCGGTCCAGCCTTCGTCAAGACTGATGATAATTATGTATCCGGTAGTTCCTTCTGAGTCCAAACTTTTTTCAGGAGTTCCAAGAGTTGTTGGTTTGCCGTCTGTTTCGTTACTTTCAAAGATGAATTTGGAGCACAGCCAGTGCCGCAGACTGACCCCGAAATAGTCCAGCCGAAGATGGTTTGCTGGGATATCAGATTCGTCTCCTTGAACCTGATAATCCTCTCTCCGATGATTCTCCCGTAGACGTCAGCTCCAATGATGATGTCGATGGCCCCAGGTTTTAAAAAGTGAGGATCTTCCAGTTGAAGTTCTCGTAGTTGATGAGGAATCGTTGATTCGCAAGTGAAGGGTGGTATGTTCGCCGTCAGTTTGCTCAGGATGTGAGCGTTAATGTTGATTTGAGCAGCGGGTTCGTACCGTTCGGTTGTAAGGCGAGAGTCACTACACCACGCGTGCTCCCCGATGAGGTTTCTCCGATGCCAACGATAAAAATTGATGATGACCTCTGCTCCAGATGAAATTGATTGACCAAGCGCTCAGAAACTAGTGTTATCTCTGAGCCCTGGTCGATGAGGATCCGTGTTGACCTTGAATTTCCATGGCGATTGAGGGCGAACACCCTCGCCGTCGGCAAGATCACCAGTTGAGTTGCATTCTGGTGAGGTCATTGAACTTCCAAAACGTTGATGGTGTCCACCGGATTCACCTGGTACAGCTCTGATTGTCGATTGACCTGGTACTCCTCTGGTTGACGATAATCTCCAATGTACATGGATTTTAAGTGAGGTTGATGTCCCACCTGGTACTTTTTCAATTGTCCAGGATCCCCAATCTAATTATGAGAGGTCGTTGACCTCTTCCTCTCGATGAGGGTCCGTGCAGATGATTTAAATTGTGATGATGCGTCTTGGCGCAATGATGGACCGGATGACTTGTTGACAGATTCCTGGTTAATTGATGTCTGTTTCTTGATGATGGTCCGGTTGTCGCCTGTCAGGTTGGTGTTCTCTGGGGTCTGAGAGAGTCGTGAATTCTCCCAGTCGACGTTGAACGCGATGAAGATTTCCCTGATGATGATGATGCTGAGGGGAGAAACACAGAGGATGAGGCCGTATCAATTGCCAAGATTTGATTGTAGAATAATAAAATGATACTTGACCTCTCCTCTGGTATTCCTGGAAACCCCTTTCTCGCTTGGGCGCTACCGAGATGCTGGCCATGTCTGCCATTTCGTCCTCGAAGCTCTTGATGAATGTCTCGGGCCCCTGTCTCGATTCCGTCTGCCTAAGACGATGTTGGTCCCGCTTTACTTTTTGCCATGATGAATTTCCTTCTTTACCGACCGTAGATGTATCCGCCGATGATTTACCGACTGCAGTGTCGAGCCCGCCGACGAGTTGCCGACTGCCTCGTCGAGGTGAAGGCGCAGCGCTCACTCTACAGCTGCGAATGGGTGGGGATGGACAAATCCGATCAATGCCGACGTGCGACGACCATTGACGAAGTGCCACCCGATGGGACTCCGGCTTTGACGTCATGACGTTCCTCGTGTTGCTCGCGTTCTTCTGTTGCCGATGTAAACAAAGGCAATAGAATTTATTGCCTTTAAATTCGTTGATTGTTCGACGTCTATGTGATTTCCCTTGATGTAGTTTGTGAACCCCGAAAAGCCTCGCTACTCACGGCATCGGTTTTTCACCCACGTTGATGATCCTTGCACTATCTTTGTCCACGATAATTGTCCACTGCACTATCACTCCACTATCCGGCTCGAAGGACCAATGTTAAAAAGCTTGTGTGATTTTGATGATAGGGAGATCGGGAGGGAAAGTGAAGTGGGATGAATTGCCGGAGAATAAATCAAGATGAATTTCATTGATTTTCACTGTATTTACAAACTTAGTGCACTGAAAAATACACTCGATGGATTTCGAATAAATAGTCGATTTACCGAAGTGGACTGTACAAACACGGAATATTTAGATAATTGACCGGATAATTTACGATAATGTTCGATAACTTTACCGATGAATTTCCCGATAAATGCGCCGATGTGCGCCCGGATAAGTTTCAGTGATTCGGTCCTGATGAGAGTCGATGGTGTACTGACCACCGTGGAACACGCTCACGACTACGTGCGTGCTCGTCGATGGTCGGGAATTTCCGTAAGGGACGGGGAAAGGAGTTGGCCCAAAATACAGGCCATATTTTGAACACAGTCAATTCACAATTTTTCATGGGAGGTTTTTAATTTTTAATTCTTTAATTCGCAGTCTTTCCAGAATTTTTATAATTTTTCTAGTTTTTCTAGTTCGATTTTATTTCAATCAGTCAATTTACAATTTTTTATTGGCAGTTTTCAATTCTCAATTTTTTCTTCCCCCGTGTATGATTTTTAATTTTTCCAATTCGTTTTGATGATTTGGTGCCATCATTCGATTTTTTTCCAATTTCATACTAATATTCGAGAATCAATTCCCTTTTTTTATTTTCAGTCAATTTCCGGTTTTAGGGCTGATGTAAAATAAAAAAATTATAAGGAATGAGGAATAAGCGTCAGGAACCGCCGGAAACAGGGAATAACAATAGCCATAATCGCGCAATCAAAAATACGAAAAATAATTATAAGGAACAGCTTGGCGGAATTAGTAAAAGTGTATGTATTTCTTGTGCGTTGGAGTATCGACTCCAACATGTTGAAACATTATTACTTATTCCTTGTTTCCAACATTTGTTCCTTGTCTTCTACTTTTCTGATTATGAAACGCATATGAGACCCGCAGTCTAACGCTGAAGCGCAATAACTAACCAATTGTACTAACCGATTTTTTCGGTTGCACGGAGAGAAATATTCAATAAAAAATACGTATCTTTTCCGTAATTCCGGAGCGAAATGTGGTTGCAGGAAATTTCACGGAACTGTTACGGAATTTTTCCGGAGCGTTCCGTAATTTTTATCTGAATCTCCTGTGAGAAATTACAATACCGTCACTTAAATTTTCTGAGTCAATTCCATAATCGGTGAGTGAATTGTGAGTTCCGTAATTTTTACTGAACATTTCTCTCCGTGTGCTCGTTAGGCAATTTTTTTTAACCTATTCACCTTTCCCTGATAATTTTTTTAATGCATTTTTTTAAGGAAAACAGAGTAGTTGATCAAAATACGGGCGCCGTAGTTCAGTTCCCCAGAGTGTTTTCTACATTTCTAATGCAAATATTCAGTTTGTCGAATCGTTTTTCATGTAGTTTCGTCTTGATAACTTTATTGAAAAGTTATGTTATGGAGCGTCAATAGAATATACCCCTCCCTCTGGTTTGCCATCGGAGGTAATAAATGATGAAAATTGAGATTCTTCAAAAAAAGTCCAACAAAAAGGCATTTTAGAAAATTAGTGAAAAAGTTAGTGAAAGTTGGTAAAAAATACAAATTAATTGAAAAATATTAAAAATGTTAAAAAAAAGGTTAATTTATTTTCAATGAAAGAATAAATAAATACCACTTTACTACAAAATTCTAAAAATTTCCCCAAATTTATTAGATGCGAATTTTTAAAAAAGTAATTTTTTTAGACGAAAAAAAAACAAAAGTTTGAAACAGCACTGGGCTTCTGATTCATTAGAATCCGGGAAGAAATACAGGTTAAACATCCAATATTTCAATCCATTTTGCCCCATTATTTTTGAGAAATTCATTAAAAAAAATCATACGAATTAAAATACTTCAATGAATTCTAAAAATGAGGAATTCCACGAAAATGATGAAATATATATGGGGTATTCCATGTGAACTCACCCAGGTCAAAACCCTCACCATCGCCAATCATATTGCCGATTTTTTCTGTGGTTGTATATGGAAAAATATGACTTGTCAAATTTTTTCAGATTTTTTGAGGCATCCTGTGGGCAGCCATGTTTTTTTGCAAGTTTTATCTTCAAATGCCTGTAACTTCCGTAAAAATCAACCGATTTGAGTTTTTTTTTTTTACAAAATTTGCGTCTTCGACTACACTTTCCATATAAAAATATGCCGATTTTTTTCAATTTGTTCTTCCATCGATTTCCTCAGAAAAACCTCAAAAAACTTCAGAAAACGAGTCGTTTTCAAAGTTGGACCCTTTTTATATTTTTCAAAAAATTTCAGTGAATATATTGG